GGATGCGCTCTCCCCGCCGGGTGCCCAGAGGGCTGCTGCCACGTTGGCACAGAAATGTGGAGCTGCAGCTCTTTGTGCTTGGCTTCGAGGAGGGGTTGAGGGCTGCTTTTACAGCTGCAGCTGCTCTAATGCAATAGCAGCTGGGAAAGGTCACCCGCGGGGTGGTGACGTGCTCTCTTCTTCAGTCTGAAGTGCAACTGGGGTTGGCCTGCCATGAGCCCCTGCAGGAGGGATGGAAACTTTCCCAGGATTTGGCAAGCACCTTTAAAGGCTCTGGCTGGCACCAGGATGCCTGGTCTGTCCCCTCCTCCCCCGAAAGCCCCTGTAACTGGGGTCCTGCTTGAGAAGCCCAAAGCAAGAGCAAGAGGGAGGTAGAGAGGCTGCAGGCTTTGCTCTGGGTGATGCGTCCTCAGCTGCTGCTGCTGCTGCGGAGGCTGTCTCTGTGCAGTGCACGGCTGTGAGGAGACAGCCCGCCTTGAACAGGCAGCGTGGCTGCCTTCTCCCACCCTGGGCCCAGCGCTTTTACCCCTTTTCAGGGTGCCGGTCCCCAGAGATGCCCGTGATGCAGGAGATGCAGGTGCCTGTGGGGACCCCCTTGCCCAGGACAGCGGTGGTGCCTGTTTGCAGCCCCTCAAATGGGCAGAGGGTTTCCTCAAGCTGTGCTTGGGGTGCTTAGGCTATCTCCATCTTCTCCACTGCTCCGGCCACCCTGGAGCCACGTATTGAAGTGCCCCAGGGTGCCGAGGGCAAGGAAGGAAACATGCTGCCCCTATGTAGGGGTGCCGGGGCTCAGCATTGCTGGGGTTGCTGGGCAGTGGTCCGAAAGGGTTAAACGTTTTAGTTTGAAACTTGCCAGCAGTGGAGGAGAGAGGAGAGAGCATCGCCAGGGCTGGCGGGGCCAAGGAACGAAGTGGCCGTCTGGACATGTTTCCAAACGATGGCAGAGCTTGCCAAGCGATGGGCACAGAGAGCACCCCGCCATGGCCCATTGCAGAACTGGCACAGCCACAGCGGGACCCCCTGCACGCCAGCATCACCCTGTGTCCTGCCTTTCCCCGAAGAGCCGGTCCCCTTCACAGCATCCCCTGGTAGGCAAAGCTTGGGCTGCTCTGCAGCAGCTGGTGCTCTCCCTGGGCATCCCTGCATGGCAAGGGACAGTCACTCAGGTCCATCACAGGGCAGCACCTGGCTCTGGAGCCGCCACGGCCTATGGGCAGTGGGTGCAGGGGAAGGGGGTGCTGCGTCCCCTCGCCAGCCCCTGCTGCCGTGTCCTTGCTTGGAGCCCGTCGTCTCTCCCCGGAGCCTCGCAGGTGCTCATCGCGCGCAGGTGGCTCATCGCGGGCGATGCCGGTGCTGGGCGGGCGGGCAGGGAGCAGCGTGCATCTGGGTCCATGGCCCTGTGCCGGCAAGCAGCGGTGATGTGGAAACAGGCAGAAGTTGTCACTTAAAGGCAGAAGTTGTCACTTCGTGGATGCTTTCTCTTCGCTGTGCTATGTTAAACGTGGGTTGCTGCCCCTCTCCCTGAGACCGTCTTGTTGTATGGATTGTAGTTATTTTAAAAAAAGGAGATTTTATTAAACGACCATGTTTGAGACCCATTGCGAGTGTGTGGTGTGGGGCCAGGCGGGCTTCTCTCCACTGCAGCCCTTGCTGTCGCGCTGGACGCGGTTCCTGCGTGGGGACCCTCTCGCCTTGGGGGGGTCCTCTCCCGGCAGCATGCCCGTGAGCAGAGGATCCAGGCTGGGGGAGAGGAGGGCTCACGCCGGTTCTTCGCCCCATCCCGTAGCCATCCCCAAGGAAGAGTGACCGTCTGCCATCCCGCTCAGGCACCAGAGCTCTCACATAGCCTCTGGCTGGTGCCCAGAGCTTTTCTTATTCCCAGGAAGAGTTTAGGTTTTTTTACTTCTCAGACCTCAGCCTGGCCCCAGGCACGGGCATTTGCCAAAATGTCGAAGCTGTTAAGGCAGGTGAGTGCAGGCTGCTCTCCCCCGCAGGACTTGCACCCTGGCCCCTAGAGCAGTGTGAGCCCTCCTGCCCGGCTAATCTCTCGCCCTCCAGGGCCGGGCCCTTCGCACCTTGGTCTGGGCTCAGATAAGAGCTATCACAGCCCTCGGGTCCTCCTCCTTTTCAGCAGGGCTAAATGTATTAGTTCCTCTCGCGGCCCAGCTCTTTGATCACACTAACCCCGTGGTGCTGATACAATCTCGGCTCCTCTGGGTTTCGGCAGCGCCGGAAGGTCGGGTGCTATTGTCCAGCCCGAGCGTCTCCGTCACTCAGTGACTCACCATGGTCAACTGCCTGGGCATGGTTGGGGCACCTGGGTCGTCCCCACTCAGGGGGCTGCTGGACCCCTGCACACAGGCTGCCCTTGGCCATAGTGGTGTTGCCGGAGGGCCAGCCCAGCATTGTCCTGGGCTGCGATGGGTGCCCTGAACCCTGCCACTGCCACTGGCTCCCAAGGACCTGCAGGGCCCATCGAGCTGGGGTTGGGACAAGGCTCAGTCTGAACACCCAGATTTGGCCTCGTGTGTGTGCTCTGTGTCCACTCTACAGGGCAAACCTACATCGATTTTCAGAGAGAGCTTATACTGGCGCCAGCTCCTCTGAAACCTCAGCAGCCATCTCTAGTGGCTTTTGCTAGGGTCCTCAGGGTGCTGCTCCCCACCTCTAGCTGGGACCCTGGAGCAGAGCCGGTGGATGAGGATGTGGGGCTGCCCTGTGGCACAGGCTCTGTTCAACACACTGCCTTGCAACCCAGGTTTGAGTTAAGGCCTGGCCACCCTCAGGGCCGTAACCCAGGTCCCAGCTCTAAGGCAAGAGTGGCAGCTCCCATGAGCTAGACGAAGGTTGGTAGCTGCTTAAACCACTGCAGGAAGATTAGCCATGGCCCCCTCCCTTTGGAGCAGGCAGGCTGGCAAAGATGCTGAGATTTTCCTGCCACAGCGGAAAGGGGGGCTGGGAAAGGGGAGCCATGAGTACCCTGTGGCCAGATGAGTGCTGCCAGCATGGCTGCCACAGAGCCTTGCCTGAAGCCTGTGCTGCGATGAAGGTGATGCTTCACAAGTGTAGTGAAGTCCTAAAGCCCAGAGGGGTTTTCATGCTCTTCTGGGGCTTCTCTGAATCTTTCTTGGGTGGCTTTTGCTATCTAAGTGTGGATCCCAGAGCTGAAGCCAGCACCCCTAAACCACCCCCAGCCAGCTGATGCAGCCCCCTCAGCCGATGCTTCCCTGCTCAGGTGGGGAGGAATTGCAGTGCCACAGGGGCAGCACTGCCGGGCCACAGCTGCCCGCAGCCAAGTAGCCCCTGCTAGCCCTCCGTCCTCTCTGCTGCCATTCAGGAGACACCCCTCCGCCTCTTCCTCACCACCCCACAGCATCCCTCAGAAATCCATGGCAGCACGGCGCATTAGGGCACTTAAACCCCAGAAGAGGCATTTGTCCTGCAGCAGCACATCTGTCCTGCAGCAGCCCAGGGGCTTCACACAGGGGCTGTGCTGGGTCCTCTGCTCAGCCCCAGCCTACCTGTGTGCAGTCCCCCTCCCCCCCCAATAACTGCAGAGCAGAAGGGCTGGTGGTTCAAGCTTGCAGCGATGTGGGTGATGCCCAAATTACAACCCAGGCTGCCTACTGCTGGGCTGGGCTGCACAGGCCAGTTTAATGAGGATGCAGATCTGGACCAAACCATCCTCCACGGCTTTCAGCTCAGCCTGGGCTCATATGCTACAAGCAGTCCTTTCGTCTTCCCAGCATCAGCAAGTGGCATCTTCCCAGCTAAGCCCCTTGCTTAATCCTTGCCAAACAAAACAGCTACACGGAGCCAGGAGAGCGGAGCAGAGGGAGGTCCCCAGCTGTGGTGCAAGCCCAGAGCCTGGGGGGGCGGAGGCAGAGCTGAGTGCCCTGCTCAGCTGAAGGAAGGAGCAGTCCTTTGGCCAGGACCCAGGGGAGCAAGATGTGGTGGGGGGGGCAGGGAAGTGAAGGGGGCTGTTCTCACCTAATGCTATCATTAGGCAAGGGCACACCAGGAGGGCCAGCGGGCAGCGCCCAGCTCTGCTCCCAAGGATGACACCATCACAGCTGAGTGGTCTTGTCCCACACTCATGGGCAAGGCTGGTGAAGCAGGATTTGCCAGGTCAGGATCCATGGCCGGGGTGCAAAGGAGACTTTCCCTCACCTACCTGCAGCTGCACAGGTCTGTCTGTCCAGCCCTGGCAGGCCCGTCCAGCTGCAGCCTAGCAAACTGGATTGCCATGGAGGAGTTTCAGTTTTGCTGCCCTAGATGGGACTTTGGGGGCGGAAGCCACCGGTCTGACCCTTGTCAGATGGGCCTGGAGCGAAGCTTTTCAAACATGGACCTAGCTGGGCCCTTCACGTTGCTGCTGACCACTTTGGCCCCATGCCCACCGTGTGCAGGGATGCAGCCCACCACATTGCTCTGACTCCAGTATATTATGCATTAAATTCAGGTGCATCCAGCAGAGTCCTTTTATCTCACCTGCCACAGGAGAGAGGGTGGTTTGACAGTGAATAAAACATCATCTTTGGCCACACGTTCTCGCAGTATCTTCTGTCACCAAGCCAAGCCAAACCAGCATCAAGCCAGCATAATGCAGCAGACGGGAGAGACAGATACATGCGCACCTCAGTGCCCCCAGCTTGCTATCATCTCACCAAGGTTGGTAGGACACGGACATTTCTCTCTGCTCCCATTTTCTGAGCAGGATCCCACTGACATCTGGCTTGGTTACAGATCACAGTGCTCAGCCTGCCACAAAGCACTACAGTGCTGCAGGATAAGGCTGTGGGTATGGGGACGGCCTGCCTGCCAGGACACGCTGGGAGGCAACGGCCTTCCTCCTCCGGAGCATGCAAACTCTAGGAGCATCTCCCCTGGAAGGAGGTGAGGAGCTGCCGAGCGCCGGCCATGGGGCACACCAGGAGCCCTGCACCTCGCGCAGCCCCAGAGCTCGCCCCATTGAAATGGATGGGGGGGACGGAGAGAAACCCCACTGACTTGCTCCACATCCCCCAGCGAAAAACATCACTGCCCACAATGGGCCGGGCTCCTACAAAGAGGCAGTTCAAAGTCAACGTCTCCCCTTCGCCTCCGCCTGTATATGAAAGGGAGCTGGAATGTGTTTGAGGGCGCGATGGCTCGGCCCCGCTTCCTGGGGGGATGGAGAGAAAGAGCAGGTCGGGGAAGGAGGAGGGGGCCCAGGCCAGGAACAATAAATCAAAGGGAAAGGGGGAGTTACTGCCGAGCTGAAGGGTCTTCTAAAAACGTCGCAGCCCCAGCTGGAGCCCGGCAGGAGCAGAGGTTGATCGCTGCCCATTGGAGTCCTGCGGCGACACTTCCTCTGCCCGCGGGCTCCGGGCGGCATCCTCCGGAGAGGGGCC